AAATATAGACCAGTTCTCCAAAATATGAAGCTGTCAGTCACAGTTTGTTGCATGTTTATATGCTGTTAAGCAGCAGTTATTTGGAAAAAGATCACAGTACAGAAAAAAGATACATGTAATGAATGAATGAATGAAGACTTTATGAAAGTCACACCTCTAGATTCCTGTTCTTACAAAAGTAATAAGTACACTGATAAATCTAAGAAAACAAACCACAAAATAAAGTTATGCTTGTGGATATCTAGCATACCTGCTAAGTGCAAAAACTCTCTGTGATTATATGTGGTACATTTAATCATAATGTGGATGTTACAGTTTGTGGAGAAACGTGGTTATAAAAATGTATAACTTGCATAACTTTATAACTTGGACTCTTAAGTCTTGTTTATTTATTATTTAACTCTCTACTTTAAAATACTCAAAGGTTTTGTTATGAAATTCCAACAATAAATGTTGAACATCTAATTTAACTCAGGAAAGTTGTTTGAAATCTTTAGAGACTGTTTTCTCTAAACAAGTTTTAATGACAGCCACCCTTTAAATGATGATAGCTTGACAATGGCTGGGAGTAGAATCGAAACAATTACACTGTTAGAAAGCAGAGACTTTTTTTATTTAGTGCAAGTACAAAACTCAACAAATGTATTGATCGGTCTATACACTCAAAATAATCCAGCAGGACACATTATTCATGCCACTAACCTGTAAAACCTATGATTCTGTGTGTTCAGACTCGGAAGTGCTCACTGTGGTGCATGTCTGCAGGCACACCGGTAAAACCCTGCACACTCTGAAAGTTGTGTAGCACCAGCTTGTATGATCCAGCTAGCTCAGGCCGTCTTGTGTGTGTTATGCATGAATAGACTGCGGGAGTCCCTTCAGAGGATGACCTGGCCATCTGACCCCACTAACCATTTTTGCAAAGAGACTTACAGTGCATTCAGTATACATTCATCAATATGTGCTCCCTGGGAAATGAACCCGTGACCTTGGCATTGCTATAGGTGGAGTACAGCTGGTGCTGTGTTCTCACAATCCTCTGCGGAGTTTGCTTGAAAGAAAATGAAACGTGTGAGAAACTTGGAAAGAGCTTGGGGAAAACGAAAAACAGCAAAACCAATTAGATAACAGTTCATGGGACTGTCAGAGGATTTGAGGTTATAGACACATTATGCTTTCTGACAGGACATCAATACAGAATGCCATTTCACAATTAAAACGCTTGCAGGAAAAAAAAAACTAAGAAAGAAAAACATTTTCTTAGCTGAGAGACCACTGACAACAAGGATGGATTTGTGCGTTTTTCACTGTCTTAGCATTAAGCTTCAATGCAGCCAATGTGTTGGAGTTCACAAGAGCACAATTAGCAAGTGTACACACGTGCCCTCTCCTGATCTCCTCCAGCTCTTAGCTTTACGTCTCTCTGCTTTAATGGCAGCAGCCAGTGGGCCGTACGTAACAGCAGACGCTGGAGGATTCCTGCTGGATCTCTACTCTTTCCCAGCGCACACCACATATATAGTGGCAATTAGATTTGATTAGGCCTTTTCTGCTCATGGCGCTGTGTAGCACGAATGCTGACTGGCTCTCTTTATCTCCTGGCTTTATGGAGATGAAGGTCATCCTAATTAAGGTAATGGTGGAGTACGGCTGGCTCTCTCTACACGCACATTGTGCTCTCAGAAACCTCTCTTTTGTTTCTGCTAGAAGAAAAAAAAATACATCTGAATTGGGCATGATTCCAAATCAAAATGATCACTGAAGTTGATTTGTTTGAAATATCTCATACTTGAAGCTATGTATTTGCACAGGGATGCACATAAGTGGTGCGCAGGTGAGCATGCACAACCAAAATAAAAAAATGTCCTGGGTAAATAAGTTCTGATCACTCAGTTGCGTACCGACATTGCTGTCAACGCATCACCGTTTCAGATCAACTAATGGCAACGGCTGGCTCTCTCTACACGCACATTGTGCTCTCAGAAACCTCTCTTGTGTTTCTGCTAGAAGAAAAATAAATAAATCTGAATTGGGCATGATTCCAAATCAAAATGATCACTGAAGTTGATTTGTTTGAAATATCTCATACTTGAAGCTATGTATTTGCACAGGGATGCACATAAGTGGTGCGCAGATGAGCATGCACAACCAAAATAAAAAAATGTCCTGGGTAAATAAGTTCTGTTCACTCATTTGCGTACCGACATTGCTGACAGCTGTCAATGCACAATCACCGTTTCAGATCAACTAATGGCATTAAGCTTCAATGCAGCCAATGTGTTGGAGTTCACAAGAGCACAATTAGCAAGTGTACACACGTGCCCTCTCCTGATCTCCTCCAGCTCTTAGCTTTACGTCTCTCTGCTTTAATGGCAGCAGCCAGTGGGCCGTACGTAACAGCAGACGCTGGAGGATTCCTGCTGGATCTCTACTCTTTCCCAGCGCACACCACATATATAGTGGCAATTAGATTTGATTAGGCCTTTTCTGCTCATGGCGCTGTGTAGCACGAATGCTGACTGGCTCTCTTTATCTCCTGGCTTTATGGAGATGAAGGTCATCCTAATTAAGGTAATGGTGGAGTACGGCTGGCTCTCTCTACACGCACATTGTGCTCTCAGAAACCTCTCTTGTGTTTCTGCTAGAAGAAAAATAAATAAATCTGAATTGGGCATGATTCCAAATCAAAATGATCACTGAAGTTGATTTGTTTGAAATATCTCATACTTGAAGCTATGTATTTGCACAGGGATGCACATAAGTGGTGCGCAGGTGAGCATGCACAACCAAAATAAAAAAATGTCCTGGGTAAATAAGTTCTGATCACTCAGTTGCGTACCGACATTGCTGTCAACGCATCACCGTTTCAGATCAACTAATGGCAATTTTATTTATATAGCACCATTAATTACAACCCATGGTTGTCCAATGTGCTTTACAGCAATAGAAAAAATAAAAACCCTAAAACACATTTACTTAAAAAATTAGACAAAAGACAATAAAATAGCAATTAAAACAAAAGGCAGGAAAGCATTAATACAGATTGTAAGCCTTACCGAACAAATAGACTTAAAAACTGATACCGAGGGAGCAAGTCTGATTGTGATGGGTAAGTTATTCCAGAGACTGGAGGCAACTACAGAGAAGGCACAGTCACCTCTACACTTATACTTCGACCTAGGAATAACCAACAGTCTCTGGTTAGATGACAGAAGTTATCTAGTTAGAAAATGCTTTATCAATAGGTCAGAACGGTAAAATGGAGCCTTACCATTTAAAGATTTATACACTATAAGTAGTATTTTAAAATGTGGTGCATTGGCAACCAGCGCAGAGATTGTAAAATTGGAGTGATGTGATCCCGTTTTCAAGTACCAGTGAGCAGTCTGGCTGCTGCATTTTGAACTAACTGTAATAGGGACAGAGCTGATTAGCTAATCCCAACATAAAGAGAATTACAGTAATCCAGCCTGGAAGAAGTAAAGGCATGCAATACTTTTTAAAATTGTTTTTTGAAAGAGAGAAATGACTTTACGTTTGATGGCTGAAAAAAGCATGATTTCACCACCAAGTTTATCTGCTTATCAAATTTCAGAGACTCATCAAAGACAAAACCCAGATTTTTCACCAATGTCTTCACACAAGAAGACAGCCCGTCAAGATTTATCTTGGGACTGTGAATTGAATCTGAAGGTCCAAAAACAATAATTTCTGCTTTACTCTCATTCCGAAAGTTTAGAGACAACCAGGCCTTTTACAAACAAATGCAAACATCGCATTGCTATGACTTGAAATTTTGTGAAATTTAGTGAAAAGGGTTGGTTAGGTTGCATCCCATTTCTCTGGATCATCTTTGAGATGTTTCTACACTTTGACTGGAGCTAATTCATCTGCTGCAAATTCAGATTATCAGACATGAAAGGCACACACCTGTCTATTCAAGGTCAAACAGATGAAAATGCATATCAGAGCAAAAACCAAGTCAAAGGAACAGCCCTGCAGAGCTCAGAGACTGAGGCACAGATCTGGGGAAGGGTACAAAACCTACTGCATAGTGCAGAGTGGCCTTCATATCTTTTCAATGGAAGAGCTTTGGAACAACCAAGAAATCTTCCAAAGGCTGGTCTCCTGCTGACCACGAACCAACAACCATCACTGCATTACTCCACTTTATGACAGAGTGGCCAGACGAAAAGTATTTTCTCAGTGAAGACACATGAAAGGCCCCTTGGTATTTGCAAAAAAGCACCTAAAGAACTTTTAAACTGTGAGAAACATGTTTTAGAAACATGTTTTTCAGAGGCAGGCCCTGGGGTACTGGTCATGGTCAAGGAAAGCTGAACACTTAATTTGCTGTAAAGTTGCTTTGCAATGATTTGTATCGTGGAAAGCACTGTACAAATAAACTTGAATTGAACTTGAATCGAACACTGCAAAATACAGAAAACTTGGTGCAGAACACTCTGGATCTCAAACTAAACACACAGCCAAGATAATGCAAGTGGCTTAGTGTCAACTCTTTGAATGGTCTTGAGTGGCCCGGCCAGAGCCCAAAATTAAACCCAATCAAACATCTTTGAAGAGATCTGAAAATGTCTGTCCCTTCAACTTGAGCTTGAGAGGATCTGCGGGGAATAATGACAGAAAACTCCCTGATCCAGGTGTGCAAAGCTTGTCCTATTATACACGCAAAAGTTTGTAATCGCTGCTGCAGGTGCTTCAGCTAAGTACTGAGTTAAGGGTATGAATACTTATGCAATGTGATATTTCAGCGGGGTTCTTTTGTAATTTGCAAGGTTATCACAAACCTGGGATTTTCTTTTGTCATTATTGGCTATGGAGTGCAGAATGAGGTGGGGAAAGTAATTTAAATCATTGTAGCATAAGGATGCAATATAACAAAATCTAGGAAAAAAGCACTATATACAATGCATTTATGTCAGATGAATATGAAAAATCAATGCAGAGAATGAAAGAAAAAAGTCTCATGGGACACTCACAGCTCTCGATTTCCAGCGTGCAGTTCTGCTCATCAAGCGGGTATCTGCGCAAGTCCATCATGCAGGCGGCAGTGGTCGTGATCCTGCGCACACAGAGAGTGTCACTGTTAGTCACTATAAGCAACTATTTCTCCAGCATCCTGTTCATTATATAGTCAAGTCCATACCAGAGTAATTTATTTCCAACATACTCCTTCACATTCCTAGGTCTTTCTTTTTCTCCATGTTTTATGTAATTTCCTTTCAAGGTAAAGTGTACAAAAGGATTTTCTTCTTTTTCCCAATCTCACACTAGTGTATAATGTATAAATATAAAATATTAAAAATGTTTCATCAGAGGTGTAAGGAAAATGAGACATAATTGAATTGAATTGATACATTGTCTGAAAAAAAAATCAGTAACACTTTCTTTTTATTTTTTATCTTCCTCCAAACCTCCAGATGAAGGACAGAGCACTTGAAGTACTCTGGGTGCAAGATATTAGTTTAACCCTCTGGTGCTGTTTAGTCATTTTTTTTACCGAAAAGTGTTTATTTATTTATTTATTATTATTATTAATTTAGTTTTTTTTACGTCATCGGAATGGTATGAAACTTGGTAAAGGTTTTGGCACTTGTTAAGTGAACAAAATAAATAAATAAATACAAATAAAGGACGTGATTCAAAAAGATTAAATTGTCCTGGTAAAAAAGAAACTTGCATTCTTCTTGATCAAAAATGACCGCAATGGAAACAAATGGAAAGTACGTTTTTATCTAGTGGAAAAGTTTGGTACTGCGCTCAAACTAAATATTACTAAAAGCTCATTTTTTGAGATATCAACCTCAAATTTTGAACACAACTTCTTTAAATTCATGGCTTTGAATTTCTTGCAGTTTTACAGTAAAACTGTAAAAAAAATGTATTATATTATATTATATATATATATATATATATATTAAAATAGCATTTCTGTGCATTTTACATAATTAACTTCGATAACTTTTTTTTTTTACTTTCACTTTTTTAACTTTCACTTCAGCAATTATCTGCCAAGTGGCCAAACTTAAAACTTAGTGGCCAAAAAAAGAGGCCAAACTTAAGTCTGTGCACTAAAGCATTTACCACAGTTTAATGGACCAATCTATTCCATAAATGTAACTTAGTACCATAAAACCCCACCACGTGAACAACAACAGAGGGTTAAAACATGCATGTTTCTGCACAAGGTTACCTTGATTGTAACTGCAAAATTCATGTTTTTAAGATTGTTGTGGCAAAATGTATGCAATTGCAATGATGTAATTCAAATGTATTAGGTGCATTAACACAACTAAGGGTTAAGTACTGTAAAATAACTCTAGCTTCAAAATAAATCATGAGTATGCGCTACCTGTATCAAATGATCATGCAGCAGAATTACCTCCTTGAAATCAACAATCACATGCAAATGTAAACTCTTCACTAGTGGCTTTGCAGATCCAGTCCATTACTGGTGGATAAAATCAACCCAATGTCACATATTCCCAAGTAAACATGACTTAAAAAGAAATTTGTGAATTGATGTTGATCTGCAATATGTGTGAGTTCACAGACACTTGCTGCTGCTACAAAACAGAGATTGCCATGTTTAGAGTACTAAGATGTGCTTTATTTATAGCTGAGTAAAAAATTAAAGTTAATATAACCCTCTCACTGCACTTCCTTTTGAATGTATGACTGCAATGTCAAGTCTAAAAAGCTTTTTACTTTTAGTGAATTGAATAGTCAGTGTTTTCCTCTTCCAAACAGAAAGCATGTGAGATGAGCAGTAAAGAGGGTTTGAACTAAGAGAAGGTGTTGGAAGTGCTGCAAACGTTCACTGCAGTGGTAGATACAAGAGAAATCTTCTTGCAGGGATTGATAGATGAGCGAAAATCTGTGTCCTAGTTTCAAGTCATACCAGAATCACCTTGCCTCCGTGTTGTAACTGTGGTTCCCATAGCAAGTGGGAATACCAAAGAAAAGAGGGCAAGCAAAAGGGGTATTAATATCTTCTTTGATGCATACGCTACAGTACTGTATATTGCATTGGTAATAATCCAGGTGCACCTAACAGAGACTTCTACCAGAAGGCTTGTATATTGCTTCCTTTAATATCAAAGTTTCATTAAAAAATGCTGATGAATCTGAGAAAAAGAGAGCAGAATGGGCCAGATAATGGCTTTCTGAACAAAGGCACTAAATAATAAACTCATGCTCAGTTCTAAACTATAGACTTAACCCTAAAGAAGCACAAAGAATTACCATAACATCATTTATGTCATTCAAAGTGACCATAGGAAGAAAGAGACTGCAAAACACCTTTCTTCTGAGTTATAAAGGCTCCTGGGGTGTGCTTATTAATATTCAAAAGCTATTAGTTTTTCAATAAAGCCTGTTCTGGCTTTGGTTGGTGAGATAATTAACATTACATTCATTTTGGAAGGGAAACAGCAATGCGAGGCAGCTGGCCCTGTCTAGGGCTGTACTCTTTCACCTTTCAAAGTTATAACCTGCCAAAATCGCTCAAGCAGAATAAGGGCCCTGGGTGTGTTAGTCGACTGGCAAGCCTCTGCAAGAACAAAGAGGGAAAAGAATGATATGAATTCCTCAGGGAGAGCTTGTTCAGATCGTTAAATTTGCTAGCAGGGCTGGCAGCTGTTGTTAAGGAAGCAAATGGTGTTAGTGAGAGAGTCTCAAGGTAAGAGTGTGGTCGAGACTACTTAGACAACTTGACATATAAGTGAAGACTTTTCTCCATCAGCAGAGTTAGTACGTGCCTCAGAATAAAGTGCCTCAAAATATTCAGAGCGGACTCTGCGTTACTGTTTACATGAACGACGATTTTACGAAGAGTGAAAAGGCACCAAATTACCAGGGGAAGGATGCAGTGATAATAGAGGACACAAATGTGACCCTGGAGCACAAAAGCAGTGTTAAGTCACTGGGGGATATTTGTAGCAATCGCCAACAATACATTGTATGTGTCACAATTATACATTTCTCTTTTATGCCAAAAATCATTAGGATATTAAGTAAAGATCATGTTCCATGAAGATATTTTGTAAATTTCCTACCGTAAATATATCAAAACTTAATGTTTGATTAGTAATATGCATTGCTAAGAACTTCATTTGAACAACTTTAAAGATGATTTTCTCAATATTTAGATTTTTTTGCTCCCTCAGATTCCAGATTTTCAAATAGTTGTATCTCGGCCAAATATTGTCCGATCCTAACAAACCATACATCAGTGGAAAGCTTATTTATTCAGCTTTCAGATAATGTATTTCGAAAAATTGACCCTTATGACTGGATTTGTGGTCCAGGGTCACAAATGGTCCTCTGTGGTTTGCGGCTGGTTGGATTTCTTGGCCATATGATCAGGATGGCAGATCTTTTGACTGTCGTGCTATTTCAAAGCATTAATGCATGGTGCATTACCGCATAGTGTTCGTTCAGGACACTAGGTTTGCACAGTATACTATGGCGATGCTTCAAAATACTGGCGGTGCCACTGTAGTATTTTCGATACAGAAATCTTCAAAAACAGTGCTGCAGCAGTTCTGCTGTGTGCTGTGTAGGATTCACACTTTATATGGTATTGAGTGTTTCCCAATGCTTCACTTCATTTTGCAATGAGACGTTGGACGTCGTTGAACATTTTGACGATTAGCAGCTCAAACATCAACATCATAACATCTTTATTTAAGAATGTATATTCTCTCAAATGGTTTATATGTTTTAATATACGGTCCTCTAGTCAGTTGGAAATGTCAAGATGTGTGGGCAAAAAATGCACCTGTATGAGTCTGTTTTTTATTTATGACATGATATTTCAGCAATAGTACACGAGTGAGCAGAGCGCTGTTCTTCCTAATATCAGCGCAATTGCAAATGTGATTGCAAAAGTTCAATAAACAAAAAGTTGATTTGAAATGACGTTTTTGACACTATATTGTCAAAAATGATAGTTTCACTATTTCGCCAATGAAAATAGTTCTAAATAAAGCAGAACTGTTGTGCTCAAGGACTTAATCGCAGTAAGATGCTTACATGACATGAGCAAACCTTTTCACTCCCGTTTACATGCAGTTTTCATTATTCTGATTATTCACGAAGAAGTGTGGTTATTTTTAGCGTCATTCTTCACACACCCCAATGCACAGGACAAATGATGAACTCACGTACAGTAGACGTGTTGCTGGCCACTGTTTTACTTTGTTTACATCAAATACAAAACACGTTTGTATAGACCTTTTGGATATTATTCGGTGCCGTGATGAACATACTTTATTGGGGTTGATTATGCTGCTGTCGTGTTTCTGGATGAAGATACAGTAAGAATTAAGGTGTTTACATGCCTATTTGTTGTAAGTAAAGGCAGCGTATGCCACGGTTTAATGCAATTATGGCTACTAAGATTGTGAGCTTAATCGCATAGTATAGTTTGATTGTTGTAATAGTTTGATCAACGTAAAAAAGTTGAATCGCAATATTTCCACAATCCCATTATAATCCCACTATAAACGTGCATGTGAACGTAGTCAGTGACAACATGACGGATGCTATACTACATCTGTATTACCTTCACACTAAACACATTCATATTATATAGAGCTTGTCTTTTTAACAGCCTCTAAGTAATTACTTATTCAAAAGAAGTACCTACGTAGTGTATAATTATACTAGCCTTTAAACTGGGTCATGCTGTTGTCATTGCCAGGAGTTTAAGTGGAATTGTATTCCATGTAAACATTTGCCACACAGTTAAATGATGAAGCTTACTGAGACTAAACTGTTTAATTCTGTTAGACATATCAGATATGCAGGATAGCTCCACTGACTGTGTCCTGAAAATGACTCTTCAACACCATAGCGAATAGCAAATTTGGAACAGCTGTTTGAAAACGTAAATATTGTTATACCTCCTTCATTCTTTGAGACAAGCGGGTGTTAGGAATCGATATGGCTGTGTATCAGCATGACAGTAATAACCCGCAGCTGTGCTTATATAGAGTCATATCGCACTCCTGCTCATGTGATATTTCTCATATACGGATGGGAACGTTCAGAAGAGTA